GATGAGGCTGAACCACCACATCCTAACAAAACGCCTGAGCTGAGTGATGCGCATTGCGTGCGTGACTGACACCACCCCTCCACCCCCACTTCTTGACGCGGTTGCTGTGCCCTCCTTCCCCTGCCGTGCGGATGCTTCACCGTGTGTGCTTGGGGGTTCGATTGAGGGTGCGCATATGTGAGTCTCTCTTTATCGGCTTTCTTGGTTTTTTCGCGGTTTGTCTTGCCTTGTTTCTTAATGTTTCACAGCGTAAGGAAGAAGTGATGGTTATGATGCTCTGCTTTTTCTACGTCGTTTTGAATATTTTGTGTACTGTGCCCTGGTGACTCAACGAGTAGCATGAGCACCGTTGTGGCTTTGGCAGAAAGCGGTTTGGAATACTGGCTGTGGTAGGGGAGGTGCCGAATGCATTGAGTGGCCTGCAGCCGGCGTATATCGTTTGTTCGGCGGACCAGGAGCCTCTTTGCATTGTGGTGTCCCTCGACGATCTGAAGAATGAGTCTCGATATTGCACGCAGTCAATGGAGGCTCGCCTGAGCTTTGAGGGCTACGATACGCCGTGCAGGCCGGAGAACTTCTACTCAGGTGAGTAGAACTGTACCCTGGTTAACAAAATTATTTCTGTGGCAGTTGCGCTGCATTCTGCGTGCCTGCTTGTGCAGCGGCTGGGCGTTGACTCGCCCGTGCTGAGTGGTGGAACGAGGGTTGCGGAGGTGGGAGAGCGGGGCAGTGCGTGTGCGCTATCTCGGCGACGATAAGTGGTACGACGGCGCTTACTGGTGCGGCATTAAACCAAGGAAGACCTTCTCGGGCGGTGCCATCAAGTGTCTTCGCTACGTGGGTTTTTGTGATGCAGTGGCGGGGGATGATGGCCTCGTCGATGGCGACGACAGCAGCAAGAACAGCAGTGGCGTGAGCAAGGGCGGGTGTGAAACCTCCCGTACCTCTCACGTGATGTTTCCTGCGTCGCTGGCCGTTGTGTCCTGAGGCCCACGTGCGGTGCTCTCGTTGAGCTATCTAGTGGTGCAGCGATGACCGCAGTAGTCACTTCCTGGGTGGCTTTAACTATAAAACAATGAAATAACTATTTGTAACAACAGCATCTGTTTTTATTTTTTCCCTTTTTTTTCATTTCGGCGGGAGGTTTGGCCGTCGCACAGTCCTGGAAGGAGAATGCATGGTGTGGCCAGTGTACCAGGGACGCCGCCGTGATATTCTTGATCATCTTTGTTTATGTTCCCTTGATTTTACACCAAGAAACCCGTTTGTTGCTAATTTTGGAAGGAGGGTCTCTTTTTTTTTCTTCCCTTCGTCTCTATTCTGTATGCATCGCGCCCCTTTCGCCGCGTGCGACTGGGACAGGTGCAGAAGATGCCTGCTCTGTGTTGAACTGAACTGCAGAATTGGAGCGTAGACGTGTTTGTTTGCTTCGTGCCTCTNTGCAGAAGATGCCTGCTCTGTGTTGAACTGAACTGCAGAATTGGAGCGTAGACGTGTTTGTTTGCTTCGTGCCTCTGCACCCCGCCCCTGTTGTGGGTGTGCGTGAAAATACGGAGGCTTTGCGTGGTGGTGGTGGCGGTGGTCGCTGACGCCCCCGACGCTGCGGCGTGTTTCTCTCTGCTCTACCGAACTCGTGGCGGTGCGATATCCGTGGTTGGTAATTTATGTTTCTCCGCGCATGTGCTCCCTACGCCGCCAGTCTTTTTGTGTGTGTGTGTGTGCGGTGCGCACTTCATCGGGCGGGGTGGGAGGCGCAACGGGCGTACTTCAAGGGTCGAAAGCTTTTTTTCGTTGGGTAGGCATTTCTTAGCGGTTGAACAATGCCTGGGGTGCTGGCAGGGCGCAGAATGATAGCTGCGCGACTGTGCTGTGGGCGTAATGCTGCCACCCGCCTGCGTTTTAGAGTGCCTCCTCCCTCTTCTTCTTTGTTGTTGTGGGGCGCGGTAGGATGGCTCGGCTCCGCGCTGCGTGGGTGGCGCGGCAGTCTGCGCGGGAGATGGAGGCTTTTCTGCGACAGCGCGCCTGGCACTTCGCTGCCAGCGGCAACTACGCGATTGCGGCGGATTACGTCATTCGTCTGCTGAACCGCCGCTCGAGCGACGCCGCGGTGCTGCTGCTGGGCGAAGTCGCCGCGACGCGGACCGCGCAGGAGGCTTTCGGGGCGAAGTGC